TGCCAGAATAGGCAAAATAGAAAATGTTGTAGATTGTTGTAGGATAAAAAGTCAAGGGAACATTTATATTTAAATGTCTTTTTTTTTTGCCATTTATCTTCTGTACATAGTCACTATGCACTTTCGAGCTTTGAAATCGGTCTATAGCTGTGCCCATCTGAGAGGTGTACCCTGTAAAAGCAGCAAATGTCATTTGAACTGTTTCCTTCTTTTGCTTCCTGATTTAGACCTTCAAGCCAGGGGGCACTTTATTGGTTCACGTGCAAATACATTTGCTCTTGTTCAGATATGTGATGTGCAGAGTGAGGGGGATGCTGCAGAACTTCTCACTCAGCAGGTCTCCAGTCAGCCAAAGGGGAGGCCGCAGGGTCGCTAACACAGCAGAAATGGCCCAGAAGAGAAGGTGTTGCTTTGCTGTCCCCTTTCCTGTTCTGTGAATTGAGAGTGACCCGTAATACACCGGCTGGCACAGTGTTGCTGATGTCTCGCACAGTCAGTGTGTGAACCAACATACGGCCCTGGTGCTGCCAGATTTCAGGGAGAGCTGGCTGGGAGCTCTGCTCCTTCTAGGCTTATTGCTCCGCATGCGAGACAAGCCCAGTGCAGCGCATCGTGTATCCTCGAGTCACACAAGGACACCAGCGTTAGTACCTTGCTTAGTATCACCTCTTACTAGTGGATTTAGTAACGGTTTGTGCTTTGCTTTCCTTGATGTTCTTTTGAAGCATTCATGAATTTTCCATACCGAATACCCAACTCAAGCATAGGCATTTTTTGCTGTTAACTGACTAAATGCCCTCAAGTATGATTTTGGTTGTGGCTCACTCAGTATGCAGAAGACCATGACAGGTTTGGCTTTTTCTGCCCTATGCAGTTTGCTAACTAGGCCACCAAGCTTGTGTCCTGACATAAGCCTAATGCCCCATAGGTTGTTCTGGGCTCTTGGTCCTGGCATCTAGGGATTATGCCAGCGATTGGATGTATCTCAAGTAGCCCATCCTAATTCTGTAGATACCATCACTGACTTGTTCCCACTACTATAGCTCTGCTTTCAACAGCATTTTGCTCCTGACTAATATACTTTGAAGTGATTTGGAAATACAGAAATTGGGACATATCAACCGAATTGATATTTTGTGCATATTTAAGATAGTGAATACACTAAGAAACTTGTGTTTTGTTCTTCATCATTACTTAGGCCATGATATTCATTAATTCTTGTCTGAGAATACCAGGATGGGAACAAGCTTCATGTCAGATCAACTGAGGAATCACTGGATAGGCTATTTTCATAATAGATGGAGTGAAATAGTAAAGTGTACACATTCATCAGTGCATCATAGCAACGGTATTACAAGGCTATTAATGAACTGTAAAAATCATGCAAACTAAGTATATTTTATAGCTGCAGATGGTTACTTTATGATCCTTTTGCATGTTGCTAAACCTGCCAAAATGTTCCATCGCAATCACTCTTTAATAGCTTTTTTTTTCCCTAGCTGTTAAGCTGTGTTTAGATGCAATTTATGCACATTAATCTGCATTTCTGCACACAGAAAGCTGTACACAATAAAAGCATACAAGCCATTCTGGAGTAAATTTTGCCCCTAAATGGTATTCATTACAGAGTCAGTTTATCTTCATTCTGCATGATGAGTATAGTGTAATTTACATAGCGCAGGCAATTATATGTATCATATTATAAAACTTAATTGTGCATATAAAACAGTAATAAAAATCAGGAACTGGAGCAAGTACTCTCCAGTACATATCCAGAATAGAGAGAAGGTATGACTTAAAAGTTATACACCAGAATGACTGGTACCAGCACCAGAGGGGCTTCAGAAGTAAGAAAGACCAATTTCCAACTCACTTGTATTCTAACCACCTGCCTGCTGAGCTAGGTTTTGCTGAAGAGCTTATAGGAATATATTAATAAAACAAACTGTTCTCTTTTCCTTTTGGCTACAAGTAAGTGGATTAAAAAATATGATGTGTATAAATGATCAGTGTAACACTTGAAAAAAATGTGAAATGTGTGTTTCTTATTCAGGTGTGAAGGCGATTCTATTTATGCCATAAAAGTCATGCTGTATTTTACTGTTTTGCCTTGGGTTATTTATATGTTATAGAAATGATTTTATTAAGGATGTTAAGTCTGTGATTATGAAATAAAATAGGAAGAAACTCTGTAGTTTTCCCAGTAACACTGTGGATGTTTCCAGAAAATATTGAAGTATTGTTAATATTGTTAGCAGTTACAAGAGGAAGAAAAACAATTTTTTTTTATCTTCGATTTAAAAAAAAAATGTTGAAGAGAAAAAAAAAAAAAAAAGTGGAATCCAATACAGTACGACAGAGAACAGCGGCTTGGAAAGTATCCCAAACAAGAAAATTTGGTGCTTATAACATAACAAGATAAAGTTTTACACGTGCACATGGCCATGCGCAAGGTTTCCTGCTTCACTGTCTGTACATTTAAAATCTGTGGTGAAAAGATGTTCAAACAGCAACACTGATGGTTGTAAGTCATGGCAATTTAGCTTACTCTGTCATAACAAAGTGCTTGTCATGTAATGTCAACTTTGGCTCAAACCTAAAATCCTCCTTATTGTAATTTAGTCAGTAGATTTTTTTTGTATAGTGAATAATGAATATATTTCTGAATATATTTTCTAATTATGCTTTCCAAACACCCTGGCTCTGATGGCTAAGTTTCCACACCTGCAGCATTGTCCAGGTGGCCCAGAGCAGACTCCCTTTCTCCAGCCTGTGCCAAGCTCACGATGGGCTTCAGTGTCTCATTTCTCCTGTTTCTGGGTCCGGGAATGCTCACAGTCCTCAAGGCAACCCTGCTCGGCTTCCTGAATGACTACTCTGCTGCATGTCAGCCTTCTGCTCCTGCTGCCTGATCTGAGTGGCTCCTGGAAAGGATGCAGGGGGTGAAACACATAATCTAACCTCTTTGATGAGAACAGATGGAAACAAGCAGGAAATTTGAGACAGGTCCCAGCGAGACAGAGAGAGGCACAGAGCAACATGGGCAGCAAACGTATAGCTACCAAAAATACGAGACTCACATTTTGTCACAGAGCTCTGTGTGGGGGTTATACATCTTGGTCTGCCTTATTCATTTTTGATGCTCAGCTCACATTTCACAAGGTTGATGTGCTGGACACAACATGTATTTTAAAAGTTAGAGATTGGAAACATAGTGCTTTGATTTTTGGTATTAGAACCACCTAAGTTGCAGCAAATGCCTTCCACAACCATCTACGCTGTGTAGCCTAGTTTGCTTTGTGCTTAGAGATGTTGAATAGTATGTTTTCAGCTAACTAAACCAGAAATTTGGATGACTTTCAGTTGCTCACAGCAAAATCTCTGGGCTCCTGACCTCAGAAGGGAGCGAAGAAACTACGGCTGTCCTGGATGTAGCTGGTTTCTTCCCTTTAGAGACATTCAAGTCTCTGCTGCTGGATGGCCACAGATACACAACTGTCCTTCCAGAAGGCCTAAAAGGAAAACCCGGACTGTTTTTGCTGTGCCTCTTCTTAGCCCAATGTACAAATTTTCTCTTTTTTACTTTGGCCGTACTTTCTGCCTCTCCGATTGTTTCAAAGACGTTATTGTGATAACCCATGAAGAGATAAAGCTGCTGTCTTTGTGATTTCTTCCTGCTGTCTACCAGCTCTGCAGACCCCGAAGAGCACAGGCCAGCTCTTTTCCACCGTAGGGCAGGCCAGGGTGCACTACCAAATCCCTGGCTGCAATGTGAAGAGAGGTCAAGATTTGTTATAGCCTCAGACGTAACTGTGTCTGTCTGAAACAGAAAAGTTTTCCAAGCAATTCAGCCTCCACAGCAGGTGGGGGTAGAAGAGGGGTATTTCCCTATGCCAACTCTGAAAGGGAAGTAGAGACTTTCGTGGCAGTGAATCAAAGAGTGCCTACATGGGTGGGAGAAGCATTGAAGAATGGTTTTACATGTATTTATGTGAAACTTTGTCAAATCTGCAACTTGCAGAAAAAGAATAATGTTATCAGTTGAATGAAAACAAACAGGACACTGAGTTTGAAGCCTACACACATGATTACATTACATAGACACTTTGCTAGAAATATTTTATTTAAATGTTTTTCAGAGTGATCATTATTATTTAGAAACACTTCTTTGTTTTTTCCAATGCACCAACTAAATTGTTTTTAAATCAGCACCTGCATCTTGAGCGCAGAACTACCCTGGAATGGGATGGGACCTCTCCTTGCTCAAGGGTCACTTGAAATTTGCCAAGTGGAATGCAAATTTCATTTTAAAGAATGTGTGATGGAAGTATCTTCAAATTAATCAAGTCATTAAATACTTTACAAGAATTACACTATTTTATAGTGTTCAATTGCAGGTTCATTCTATGAAGGTCATAGAGAGTTAATTCTGTTTAGAAAGCTAGTATCTGAAGTTACATAAAATTCATGTGTGAAGAATTTCAGAGGTGAAAAGCAGTGAATCAAAAAAAATCTGGATCAAAACACATTTTAATTTTGATGCTAAGTGTTTTATACTTAACATTTTTCTGTTGAATGCATGAAGGGTTTGGGGTTTTTTTTCTATTTTTTTTTTACAATGAGAGTTGTATGTTAACATTTTTTGTGGTCACCCAACTGAACTAACAAGGTGTTTAGAGACACTAAATATATGGTTATCAAACACTATTACAGTCATCTTATCTACATTGTGACTGTTTAAAGGATATTAATGGGACACTTAATTTCTTACAGTGTACCCAAATAAAGTTCTTCATATTGCCATCTTCTTTTAATTAGAAGCCGTCAACAGTTTACAGATGAAGAAGAAACATTCTTTCTTTGACCTGATTAATCTTTTTGAGTTTGCCTTTTTGAACAGTAATGGTCAAGTCAGATCATCATTGTTAGGGAACAATTATAAGGAAAGGCTTTATGCTAGACTATCATTGTAACCATCACTTCTCTTTCTCTGCTTTCAGAGGCTGGCAACAAGAAACTAAAGAGCACGATACAGAGAAGCACAGAGACAGGAATGGCAGCAGAAATGAGAAGTCGAATGGTTCGACAGCCAAGTCGGGAATCCACTGATGGCAGCATAAATAGTTATAGCTCTGAGGGCAAGTAAGTAGCATTAAAATACAAATGATGTTGGAAAAGTTACTGGTCTTTTTAAGAAAACTACGGAAATATTAATAACAAAACTTGGTCTGTGAATAGAAATCCAAGCTTTGTTTGCTTTGAATAGCTCTACGTCCAAATTCTTCTTCTTGAGAAAATGTTTACAAATTAAATGATTTTAGGCATATAGGCAATTTCTTGGAAATTGAAATTGAGAGCATAGTTTTTATAGAGTCATATCTTGCCTGCCTTTCACTGAGGTATTCTGTTCACCAAGAAAGAACTAAATTCAGAAAACATTATTCATAGAAAAACATAGGGGTAGTTTTCCTTTAGATTATGTTTGGATTAATTCAGAGTTAAACTTCATATGTGGTATGTTAAGCCCTGCGATATGAAACTCCATTCAGTAATACTGTATACAAAGAAAGTTTAGCTTGGAGTTAGTCCAGCTCTCTTATTGAGAACTCTAAAGCCAGCATGCGACTGCACCATCAGCTAAAATCAGGCACTCTACTGTGGGTAATGGGGCAGCTGTTTTAATTCACTGTTGACATGACTAAGTATGTAGGAAAGGCAAACAAAGGCAGATTTGGCACAAAAATATGTATGAATATTTCAGCCTCCTCACAGATTTTAGTGGGACTCTGCCTTATTTGCAAATGTATCCTGATTGCTAGAGGATTCTTAGAAGTGAGAAAATTCCTACCTCTGAAAGTGGAAACTGGTAGGCAAATCTATTTTGTAGATCAGAACTGGTGAGGCCCCAGTAAACTGGACCGTGCTGGGGACTGGCCCATTTCTCCATATGGGAAAGGTGGGAAGCCAGCACTGAAGATGAGGGCCTTGCCTCTGACAAGCCTCCATACCTCTCTCAGCTCTTTCATATGATAAATTTACTATCAACTGACCACAGTTGTCTTGCCTTTCAGATCCATACTTTTGGCACCAGTTCCCAAACTTTTGATTTTGTTTCCATCCCAGGCTTCTGGTCTGGTAGAGTTCCCAACTTTTCTGATTGATTTCTGGCCTTCAGTATAACTGAACTAGTTTCTGCCTCCAGACTCAATTTGAGCAACAGTTTAAATCTAATCACTGTCATTGATCCAGGACAAAATCCACATCCCTTTTTCAATTCCTGGAAAGATAAAAGAAACAATGAGACCAGTGACATGAAAAGAAGACTACTGTCTAGCAGTATGATGGGAACCCCCAAGAGGGTGGGCCTAAGAAGGCAGCATGTAACAAAACTTCCTGGGTTAAAGAGCAAATAGTTAAATGTATCTTTATAGACTGAAGAAAGATATTCCTTAAACAGGATAGGAAACCACAGGCAAAAGGGATAAGGACTCAAGCCAGAGGAATGTGTTCATCATGATGGTGTACTTTGTGACTTAGAAGAATTAGAATTCTGAGATCTTTGGTTTTTCTATGATTCTGTGATTTTACTCAAGATTGAATATCTTGAATATTGGAAGCTCTGCAAGCTTCCAATTTGGCAGACTAGTGTAAGTTTACAACAGCTCTGGATTTATTCCACAGTGAATGAAGATTGTGTAGATTCTTTTAAGAATTCTTGAAGATTCTTGTAAGAAAGACGATCTTCTACTATATAATCACTTCCCATCTAAATCAATAAGAACTTTATTTGAGTTGGTTGAGTGTGCTGTTCACTCAACATTATGGTAGGCAGGTAATAATAAGAGGAAAGCAGCTTCAAGAAGAATATGTTTGCTGTGCCAGTATATTATAATTCAGTTTGTGTCCTGAAGGATCAATAGGCATCAGTTTGATTGACATCAAGATCTGGATACCAAAATATTTTGGCTAAGGAATGGCATTACCTTTAGATTTAATTCATAGTTGCACTGCCTGCCTGTTTAGTGCCTTTTTAAACAGTTACAGCTATCAGATTTAGTGTATACGTGGGTTTTCCCTGTATATCCAAAATGATTATTTGGGTGTACATATATACATATATACATATGTACATATATACATATATACATATATAAGACAGTATTGCAAGGTAAATCAAGAATGCAGAAATTTCAGTGTTGAGTGATGTGCAGTCAGCATTTCTCCATTTATGGAATATACATTTTTATTTGGTCTTTTATAACTTTCGTCCTTATAAGTGGTATGGAGAGAAAGAAAACGATACTTTTTCTTGTGACGTGTTTGCTTTGTTAAAGGCTGGAATCTTCTGAATCAAGTTGCAAAACTTTGCCATTTGCTCTAAGGGAATGGCCAACAGCAGCAGTGTCCTCCTACCCTGAACACAGGCAGAAAGTTAGGGCAAGCAGAAAGGCAGAGGATGGACAAAAGCATGTGGAAATATTTAAAAGGAAGTAGGGACTAAGGAACTGGAAAAAGAAGAGGATGTAGACAATTATACTGGCTGAGAATGAGTGAAAAATCTGGAAAAAAGATGAAGAAAATGAACAGAGATCTCATTGTCATTTCTGATGGATTCATATTTCATAGTTACAAGAAAAGTTACTATAAACAAACCTGCATATGAATAGGTGTTGGAGGGACTCATTTTGATCCTTCATTGATTGATGATGATCTGGAACTGTTTCTGGATTCCAGTTCACCTCTTTCAGATGAATACCAGTTGAAACAGAGCTCTGCAAGCATAAAAAAAAAAATACAGAAATCCTAGCCTAAACTTGGACCAAATATAGAATGATAACTGGAAAAACATAGTAGATGACCAAAATCAAATGTGTTCCATACTATTTTTTTCAATTGCCTGCTCTATTTTCAAATATGTTCCGTAGTGTTCATAGTGTCTTCACAGGGAAGATCATCAGAAAACGCTGACTAAATGAAATCCTTTGTTTGTGTGTGTGATTTCAGGAAGCCACAGTTGGCTATCCACATAAAACTGCATAAAAATTCTAAACCGACATTTCTGAATCAGCTGAATTGAGGAACCAATGTGAAATACGAGAAGCATCTCGTAAAATGTTTGCATGGCCTATGTATTCAAGCAGAATATAGTCTTGTACTTTGAGCTCAATAAGTATATTAAATCTTGTGAGTTTTCTCCCGTTTTCTCATACAAGGCCACTCATAGCTTACTCACCTGTCTGACTCTTCAGTGCTCCTGAAGAACACCTTGGCCAGCAGCGCTTGCATGGACTGCTTTGGCTCCATATGTGGAAGTTTCACTTATATTTCTTTGGGGTCCATGGGAGATAGCTAGTTTCTAGTTTTGCAGGGCAGTTTATGATTACATATCCTGGGCTACTTGCACTGTATAAGAAGTACTTTAGAGAAAATACTGCAGGACAAAAAGAATTATTACTGTACTTATGCTTAACCTGCTTTTATTTTGCTTCAGCTTAATATTCCCTGGAGTACGGCTGGGTGCTGACAGTCAATTTAGTGATTTCCTCGATGGACTTGGACCTGCACAGTTAGTAGGCCGACAAACACTAGCAACCCCTGCCATGGGTAAGAATAATATATTCTCCTATGTTAGATGAGTAATAGTCATTAACTAAAGCATAATACACACTGCCAGACTACAGCAGCCAAAAGACTTTTACACAGTGGCTTCCTTCACCTTAATCATGAATGTCCTGTTCCGGATTGCTAATATTCCTGCCACACTGGCATCCAAACTGAGGTAAAAAACAGTATTTGGTCCATATGCGAGGTGCTTGCTAATCTCACTTGCATTTTGAAATAGGCATTGGTTGCACTTTTTTTCCTACTCACAATTGCTGTGATTTCTCCAATCTTAGTTTACAGCCGAATCTCAGCAGTTTAAAATGCACACTTCCTTGCCACAGATTTTATTGAATGTGTTGCTTGCCAAGTGCTGCATTTGCCCAAGCTTTGTTCATCCTGAAATAACCCTAGGATTTGAAATTTCAGCCAATGTTTGCAGTGCCCAAATATCAGTTGCAGTGCCCTAGTATCAGTTGTTGATAAAGTGTTTTTAATGAAAAAGACAAAATCCTTTTCTACAACAGCCACTTGGGGATATATGTGATTGCTTCTGTATTAGAAACCAGTCTGGCTTTCCCTATAGTAGCATTAACTCTACACTGGTTACAAATAGGGTATAAGCATATAAGATGTGCAGCAGTATAACACTGTATAAGTATTATCTTTTTTTAAGAATTTGATAACTATGTCAACAATTCTTAGATATGCTTCAAATGTTACATATTAAGGGTGCAGAGTGTGTAGTTCTTGTCACTTCTGCAACTTTAACCATACTGTTCCTGTTGCAAATCATAAGTGGCCAATGTTCCAGTAAAGTTCAGCTCCAGTCTCAGATCAGGTGCTGGAAGGGCCACTAAGATGCTTCAGAGGAAGGAAAGAAAGATGGAAAGAAAAAAATCGGGGAAAAGAGTGTTTCCCTCCAACTCTTGAGAATGAAAAGAAAACTTTCTTGAGAACACTTTGACTACTCCACAAAGCACAAATAGCTGCGGCTTGGCTAGCACATTATTAAGCACCAAATCTTATAAATACATACATGTTTTTACGTAGAAAGAGAATATATTTGTGATATTATTCATCCAAGAAAAATCTCAGTGGCTCAATCAATATGGATTAGCTGCATAAATAGAGATCTAGATCCATCTGTTTTTTTCATTATAATTTTCTTTTCTGTGTAAATATTTTTCTGCAGATGTTTATAATAGGTTATAATATGTTATTATGTTTATTTCAAGCTGTTTTCTTACTAAAGGTTCAAGCAACGTTTTGGGCCAAAAAGGCACTCAGTAGTGCTTCTTACAGTTTTCAGAAGGTCTTTGGTGTGGCCTCCTTTAGTCAGTGATGCCCTGGAAATGTTTGTATTGCTGCTCCCCCTGCTGCCTGCCTGTAACATGTACTTTTTATTCAGCTAGGCAACATTGGGATGTGCTCTTAAGACGGTTGGCTGAAATTTTCCTAGGGACTATATTTAGTGCAACACAGAACTCTGTTTATTCAGGGAAAGTCTGATAGATAAAAAAATAATAATCTTCCTTTTTGCTCTGTCATACCTCAAGCACCTAGGTGTAAACACTGCTACAATCTACTGTTAGACAAGCACATGAAAATCTCATCCCCACTTAAATTCAAAATGTAGTGTTTTTAAAATTGAATGTCCCAAATTCTTTAGTTTGGGAGCATTTATTAGTTTATTTTATTTTGGGGCTTGCATATTAGATATATAATATATTAAATCATGGTGTGTCATGGATATAATCTTTTTGTTTGTTTGCAACAAGTGTCACATAGCTGCACGCATCATGCTGTATATTTTTTAGTCTAAGTAAGTCACTTGTTAGAAACCTGCTCAACTGATTCCATTACACGTGAAGATAAAACAGATTTGATGTTTTGAGCGTGAGTCCATCATCAAGATATTTTCTCTTCATTTGCCTTTTAGTAGTCTAGATCAGAAGAGGACTTAGGTCTCATGCTATGCAGCTTTCCTGCAGCTGTAACTAGAAGTGCCATTTGGCAGAGCTCAGCCAGTGAGACAACAGCTTGGCTGCTCAGTGGTCTATGTGAGAAAGCAGATGAGTTTTTGAGTATATCGTGTGATTTTATTGCACGAGCCTGAGTGTCAAATATTGATAAATACAGGGAAAATCATCACCCCTGCACTCATTAAGTGACCTTTAGAGGAGAATACCTCATCGTGGACTCCCAGAGGGCAGCACATCATTCTCTGAAGCTGCACTAAGACCTTGTACCTCATCTGCTTGGTTTTTCTGCCTTACACTGAGAATCCCATCAGACAGCTGTAATTCCTGAGGTTTACCAAGTTAGCCTGTTTCACCCATTGTCCCTCCTGATGTATCCGATGAGGTGCATTCACAGTGTCAGCTCCTGCATATCAGCTTGGAGACAGAAGCTTCCAGCTGAAGTGGTTTCTGAACCACCTCTCATGGAATCATTGTAAGGACAGGGCATGGCAGAGACTGGCCCACAACAACAGTTGTCCTAGGCAGGAAGGCTCTGCGTAGTTCACCCATGCAAAATTAGGTGATTGGTGGTGATACCATAACATTGCTGTAAAGCTCCCTTCCCTCCCTGGATCACAGCATCAATACTGATCTCTGCTAAAAGTACTTCCTAAGTATGCATCTTCATTCCTGTTTTGAGGATGAAGAAATGTGAAGGAATAAACAGAAGTGACGAGCACAGCATCACCTAGCAGACAATCAGCTAACTAGTCTTTGTCATAGACCATCCGTCAGGCCATGCTTCTCTAAATGTGAGTTTGTTTCTTCTCCCTGTCAGGTGATATTCAGATTGGGATGGTGGATAAAAAGGGCCAATTAGAAGTAGAAGTCATAAGAGCCCGGGGCCTCACACAAAAGCCTGGCTCCAAGTCAACCCCAGGTAAGAGAAGATAGACAATATGTGACTGTAAATCAAGAATGTGAAATATCCTGATGAACAGGAGATGGGAGACCTTTGAACTCCTCATTAGCTATGATCACATTGGCATTTGTTTGATTTGGTTTTCAGCAGTGGAGGCATGCATGGATATGTCCTTTATACCTGTGTTCCTTTCTTACCACCTTGCATCTATTAATTGCATGCAACATTTCAAGGAATCATTTTCGTCAACACAACATACTTTCTGGAAGGAATGTTTGCAGAAGTATTCTGCATATCTTAGGCAAATCTTATCTGTCAAAGAGGCTTTGCTGATGAAGTCCTTTGCATTTTTTTCCAAAATAAGAGATGGAAACAGATGGAAGTGGTTTGAACAAACAGGGTGATAAAGCCAAATGCCATGATCTTCTGTGGAACAACAGTGTTTCAGAATAGTAGGTTGCACCAGTACCAGTGCCAATAACTTTTATAATGACTGAGATTTAGTAAGAAAATTATTTTGAAAGTCTAGTTATTAACAGGAATCTTTATTAGAAGAGATTTGTGATTTCTATCATAGCCAATGCTTACTAAAACAATTGGAACAATTATTTTCAGAGTGCGTTTTGCCAAAATGGTTCTTTATAACCTCCTTAGGAGCTGAAAATAAGAGAGCAATGAATGTCCTTGTTATCTGAATGTCTTAGTTTTAACATTCCTTTCAATTTGACATCAGAGTCTTTGATATATTTCTGACCCCTAGACATACACAGAAACTTCAGAGTAACTAACGGTGACAACTAATTCCTGGCAGACAAAAGCGTTTTTAAATCGACAGGCATGAAGCAGAATTGTTATTAGTAACATCTTGTATCATTAAATTCAAGATTTATAAAATCAAATTGATTTCTTATGCTCTCTGTCATTTATTTAATGAATGTAATTGCATTCAGATTATATAGTGAAGATAGTGTATGTCATTTTCTTTCCAGTCTACTTCCTTTTATGGGATTTGTCCTCCAGCTCATAAGTGCAATGTAGAAGGTTTTATGTCCAAACATAAAATTCATGATGTTCTGTTTGCAGCTCCATATGTCAAAGTGTATTTATTGGAAAATGGAGCATGCATAGCTAAGAAGAAGACAAGAATTGCACGGAAGACCCTTGATCCTTTGTACCAACAGACACTGGTTTTTGATGAAAGTCCACAGGGGAAAGTCCTTCAGGTCAGTTGCTTCTTAATCCCATTTTAGGCTATCATTTAGTAAAGCACGTACATGTTTACTTAAGTTTAAGCAATATGAGTAACCTCATTCCAACTCAGCATTTAATTTTATAAATACCAGCAAACATATCCTTGTGGCTTGTGGTTCCAGACCTGTGAAATGTCTGGCTGTATTAAACATTTCTCTTTTGTTGACTCTTGCTTCAGTCCCACAGGAAGGAGCAATCATTCACTCTTAAGAATAACAATTTCCTTACAGGACCCTTAATGAAATACAGTAGGAGTGCACATGTGAGCACAGGTTTTGAGACAATGCTGAACCTGAATTTCTGTTCTTACAGGTAATAGTTTGGGGAGATTATGGCCGAATGGATCACAAATGCTTCATGGGAGTTGCCCAGATCCTTCTGGAGGACCTTGATCTGTCCAGCGTGGTAATAGGCTGGTATAAATTATTTCCACCTTCATCGCTAGTGGATCCAACCTTGACTCCCCTGACACGCAGGGCTTCCCAGTCATCTCTGGAGAGTTCAACTGGGCCTCCCTGCATTAGATCATAATAGCAGGTGCTGTCTCATAAAAACATCACCCAGGATAGCAAGTGGAACCAGATATTCACATGATCAAAAATACTGTTGGAAAGAGACAATCACTTCTGTTTTTGCTTGTAGTAATCATCCAAAAATATGTCCGAGTTGTTTGTTAAAAGATGGCTAAGATAGAAAAAAAAAAGGTGTATCACATACATACAGTCAATCTATTAGGAACTGTCACTGATGCTTATAATGATCCAAAATAGAGAGGGACCTTTAGAGTCAAATCAAGTCAAAAATTAGTCAAACTGGAAGCTTTCACTCTGTTAACAATGTTGTATTTTTCACATTTTGACAGAGCCCTCAAGCAGTGTTATCTTCCTGGTGTTTCAGCAGTTTTCTGTACTTGTTACTTCCACTAGTTCTCTCTCTTTTTTTTTTTTCCACATGATTCTGTTAGTTTTGTAGAAGGCCTCACATTGTTAACAGAGACCCTTCCTTTCTTTTTCTAAACCAAACAAACAACAACAAAAAAAGGGCTGAAGTATATTTCTGTAAGCATTGCTTAAAGTGTTCAACAGCCACAATTTTATTCCAGCAAGCTCAAATTGTTTCTCAGTTCTGGTACTTCAAAGTCTTTCATGTGGAAACCCAGAGCAGATGACCAACAAAGGTTGTCTTCTTAACAATAAATAATAGTCACAATGCCACTTTTTCTTTGTAAAAAGCAGATATGTTTGCATTATATATAGTGACTTCTTTGTTTATGATGTTTTGCATGGAAGAATTTTGAAGAATTCTGCAACTAATGCTGGGGACTGGTAAAAAGCAGCTTTAGTCATAATTTTGACATTGAATATGTTACTGGTAAGGCAATTTTCCTCCTAGAAATGGAGAGGAAATATTTACGTTTCTGTGTATAAATGTATATTTGACTTCCCAAAATGTTGACCAGGAATGGATTGAGCATATGACACTTTCAGCTGTACCCAGGCTTCTCTGATGTGTGTCACTTCAGACACACTTGTCTGCCCTGGATAGAGCATGGTATGAGTTGTTCAGTGTTTCACTGGAAATTCCAGTTGAAATATTCTGCACTTACTTACTAATGTTTTTATCAAATTTTAGTTTACATTTCTTTGAGATTGATGCAAGCACAAGGCTTGATTTTTTAACGCAAGATATCTTACTTTTTGGAGAAAAAAAATAAAGTCAAATTTCAATTTGCTTTTTATTCATTTGAGTTCTTGGCCTTGAAATCCCTTGTGATTTTCTGTAAATGTGCTAAAAACTGCAGACTCTGCAGGTGCATTGATATGTTTCCCCTCCTTTTACAGGCCATTCAATTTTGTGATCACACAAATAGAGCAGCATGACTTGGAACTGTTCAAAGCTGCATGCACGTTTTGTAAAAAGAAATGAAAAAGGTTATTTAATAATGTATGTTAGCTCCACATAGACCAGCTTGTATGTTGCATGTACTTGTACAGTTTGCTCGTAATTACTATACTGAAGTAACCAAGAAATCTAAGCCATCCATTTTTCTTATAGACATTTTGCAGATTTTAGCCAGGCTAGATCTGTGAGTCTGGTGCTAAATGTCTATAGATGGACTTTATTTTTTACCCTATGGAAAACGTGATGTAGTACGGACCAAATTCCTTCTAATAAATATTTTGGTGTAGATTCCTACTGTGGGGCTGTAACACATGTAGAAACTGTGTACACACTAGGTTTTAATTCATAGACATACTGCCTGCACCAAGTGAACTATTTATTATTATTCAACACGTCGGAATTATTCTGCCCATCTTTCCATAGGGCACAGATTGATTACTGCTCGACCTGCTGAGCAGGAAGAACTCAACCATTGGTGCACTACTACTAGATTCCGTTCTGTCTTAGTGGCCAAAAAACAACTAGTTATAATTCAATAGTATCTTTCTATTTTGACCACTTGTCTTAACACTCCCCTGTGCTTTTAAATGAACTTCCAACTCATGTTATGTAAACATGTTTAATAAAATTTCCTTTTCATGTCCAGTGTAGTAGTTGTGCTCTCTGTATGTTCTGAGGTTCATCTGTGATTCTGCGCACTGCAGGACTGTGTGAAATGTGTTAAGGAACAGTAAAATGATAAGTAATTTCTGTGATTCTTTTTGTTGATGTAATAACGTATGTTGAAATCTGGGGCCAAAGACTGAGGCCTGGTGAAAGTCATGTTTGGTTGGTTTCCTTTGCACCAAGAAAGGAGCCAAATTGTGCTCTCATTCATTGAATCAGGCAAATTGAAGCCAGTTAGCCAAATTACATTCCAGTGAAATCAAATCAGCAAATTTTGGTTGAATAATACTGCATCTGCTTACTCTAGGTCATCTGAGCAGTATGTGTTGGAACTAGGCACTGGGTTTATATTTGGTGTGTGCTGAGCTTGTAAGACATAAGAACATTTTCTGATATTTTGCACTAATTTAAATCCAGAAATACGCCAATGTTGTGTAATGTCATTACACTTTATAACAATTTACCCGAGAGCAGAATTTGGCACTAAATTTTACTATTAGAGAAGCAAAGATTATGTGCTTTGTTTGATTTTAGTTTTCCATGTCCCACAGATACATGAACACAACTTTAAAACAACCTAAAGACAATATTGCCTCACTTTGGACACTTTTGTTAATAACTTTATTTAACTGAATACATGGTTAAGCTATTAAAAAAAAAAAAAGAATAATTAAACATTGGTAAATCTCTGAACAAAAGGAATGCTACATTTCTGCTTCTGTTTGCTCTCTTTAAACATGGAATTCATCACAGTGTTGCAAAAGCCCTCAATTTCCTATATCTTATGGTTTTGGATATTGTGTCCAAAGCTGGAATATCTTTTCCTTTCTGAAAGCTTATAAATATTTGAGCTTATCTGATCCTGAGCTTATAAATACAGTTTAGGTTTTCTGATTCCCCCAGACCACAGAAAATGTGTCATCAAATAACATGTTGAACTGTTTTATGGTGTTTCTGATTAACAACGATCACATACACAAAAAACTTTGAGAAGCAGTGGACTGTGCAAGATAAGCTGTGTGTGCTGCTCTCCTTTTCCAGGGACTGTTGCATTTTAAAAGCTCATTGCTGAGTATTGGGATTATAATACAAAGATTTCACTTCTCTTCCGGTATTCCCTGGGGAACTCTGTTCTTGCCCGATACGTAATCACAGATGAGGAAACAAAGATACTGACCTTGTAATTCCTGAGATGTAAAAGGCATTTATTTTCCTTGTGGTAAGTAAATGCTCTAGAATTCATACTGAAATGCAGATTTAGTGTCTCAGTTGTGGGAGAAGAAAAAGCTTTGGGCCTAGACTATTGCTGAGAGTGGGTAGAACAACCAGAGCTTCATCACCACCTTCCTTTATAGTTCTTGGAAAAATTACACATGCACTGTCTTATATTGTTTTCACTGGCTAATTACAGTCCCGAAAGTCAAGTTCTAACCCAGATGTGCTATATATGCCTGCTGGCCAACGTGAAGAAAAGTTCAGACTGGATCTGTCCTCCAATGGCTGTTAAACGTTCTGCACACTCCAAGATTTTTCTAATGGCTTGTAACTCACCCTTTCTGAGATCTGCTGTTCTACCTGTGGCTGTTTTCTGCTTGCTCCTGTGTAGTCACCACTCTACTGTGTATGGCCTGTTTAGCTCTGGTAAAAAGGATTATGGGCCTCAATATGCTTATCTTGCCTTAAGTGAAGAAAGTCAGGCCAGAAAGCGATGTGGCTCTTCCTGTTAAAGGCTCCAACCACTCATCCCATGTTACTCTACTGTAAGTCTGCAAACACAGTAGAAAGCAGCTGGCAATGAAGTAGATGGGCGTTAAAAGGAAGGACCTGGTTTCCCAACTCAATCAATGACTATTCTGACTGCCTTGAGTGATGAAAACTCCAGTAACATATACCAAGCCTAACAACAGTCCCAGTTAAAACCTCCCTCCCAGCCCTACTACTTCTCTCTAGAAGAAAAGGAAATACATAGGTCGTGTATGTATTTTCCCACTGGATGACCACGTATGCTGGTAGTTAAAGCTGGGTGTCCTTGAGGTTTCACTTATTAGTGTGCTGGAAATGAGTCAGCTGTTTGTTTGTTTTCACATTTATGCACATCATAGGCTTATGATTGACTTTGAAAACCTGGATATTAGTCTCTCTGTACCTGCATTTTCTGATGAATAAATTGTGGATGGGTGTAATTTGCTATTTCAGACATGAAGGGCAGAGCATAAATGTGGAAAATGCAGCTTAGAGGTTTTTAAATACCAGACAGGCATGGCAATATCACATCTTGCCTTGCATCCTGCACTGGAAAGTATCAGAAAATAATGTTTTTCCATACTAAAATTTGTCATTAAATTTCAGGTGCAGCCAAATAAGAACTCTTCAGGAGTTCTTTAGAAGACCGCAGAATATTGTGATTTTCTACCTACTCATACAAGGGTCAGTAAGACTGTCCTAGGTATTTTAAGAAATCTTTTCAAATATTATGACTCCAAAATACTAAGATTTTGTAAATACAGGAAGTATTGTAAATGAGAACTTAATTAAATGTTATGGTATGTTCTTAAAAAAAAAAAAAAAAAAAAAAGATGAGTTTAAATATCTGTATTTGCATACTTCAGAAAGAGTGCCTGCAATGCAAACATGGTACTGTTACGCTAATGTGTAAGGACAAAAAAGACTTCTGATTTTTAGTTTAATAATGCATGTGTGTTGGAGGGGAGATTGTCGGGAAAGAAATGTTTCCTAAACATTTAATTACCAAGAAAAATATGCTGGAAGCCAACAGCAGAACTAGCCACTCTTCGAGCTGGTATTTGTTAAAGCTCCAGAAACAGGAATCAAGAGATAGCATCAGAAACTCATTTGCCAATTTTAGAAAGTACTCTATTTTCCTCACAGATACATATTCTAAGATTAAGTGAGCAACTCCTGAATTCTCAGGAATGGACAGTCAACTCAAAAGAAGCTGATGATGGTGAGTAAAATGGAAGGCAGTACTTCAAAACCACTCTTATGACTTGTGGAAGACAATTATGATTTTGAAGGACTGAGAATGTAGTTGCTGCTGGATGAGAGGAAGTCTGGATTTAGAACAAGGCTACAAATGTCCTTCATATGCTACAGTTTAGAAAAACTGGATGTCCATTAGCAATCAATGCTGCAGAGCTTTTCAACATTTGTAAGCTTTTTTTTTTTTTTAAATAGAGCAGTTCATAGATATAGGTCGTCCATGCTTTACTTTTTGTAGATGGTCTAATGCATGCATAATGCAGCAGCTTAACTTTAAGGGGACTTAAAGTGTATATTTAAGCCCCAAAAAATGCTGTGGAAAAGGGAATGTTGCATCAACCCTCATGAAGTAACAGCTAGGAGGGCAAGTCAGGTGCTTCGGGATGCACCAAGAGCAGAAAATGGGAGAGGGGAAGAAATGCTTGTTCTGCTGTGGGGAGGAAAGGGTGAGAACCAGG